GTACTGAGATCTTTTGGATTGCATAGGTTATATGAGCTGGCACTGAGAACCCTGAGGACCCAAAACTCCATCATAGGGCATGTGGAGGTTTGGTAATAAATGGAGCCCTGTCCCCGCTCCCTCTCACAGTTATAGATTACATTCACTGCCTCTACAGACCCAACTGTTGTTCATTTCCCATGTTCTAGAATGTACAGTTAGAATAGATGAACTTAGCAGATGGCTGAATCCCACATAGATTCCTTTACCACTGAAGTAAAATTATTATGATAGGAGCAGAAATAGAATATTGGGAACCAGCTAGAATTGTAAGAAATATTAATCATGTTCTGTTAATCATGATTGTTTTATTCTGATTAAATAAGGCACAGTCTAACCTGGCTGAGAGCTCACCTGGAAATGCAGCCCATTCTCTCCATCAGGGAGCTGCCTATTATCATGGAAAGATTAACAACCTTGTTGCAGAAAACAGAACCAAAAACCAGAGATGCCAGCTCTTTGAAGACCTCTAGCTTTTGCATACCTGAAGGCCTTTGCAAATTCCAGCCCGTATTACCTGTAAACTGCCCATTTGGCATACCCTTTGCCTACTTTCCCATGTAATCGTTGTCCTCCTACCCAATATAAGCAGCTGGCATATGGTGGGGTGCAGAGCAGATTTTTGTGGATGACCCGCTGCTCTCCCATGCTGCCGGCAGTATTGGAATAAATGCTCATATATATTCAACCCTGTCTCTGCGTAGTATATTTAGTAGAACAAAATAACACAGCCTTTGTTATATGTTAAGTAGCTATTGATTAGATTGCTGTGCATACTGATTCATTGTAAGAACAATGTGTAAAATCATTATCATTCATTTATATTTCAAAAAGTTTAAATTTCAATTAACTCTCATATCTGTCTGGCTAGTCACAATTAGTTCTTTTCCTTGGAGCTCTGAATATACCTTGTTCATCTACGGTGTGTTATTAGTGAGAAACTGTAAATGACACTGCGAATTTTTGAGGTCTTTGATTATTGAGCACTTGGTAAGCATTTCTTTTGTTTCAAGAAAATCTAGCATTGGAGTTATCAGTACAATAACTCTTAGCAAAACTTTTCCACAACTCCACCAACAAACATTGGTAAATAATACAAGATCATTAATTGTTGTCTTTTCTCCCTCCAGCAGTTTCAAAACTGGTGATGACATAGAATTTGCAAATATATACTCAATGATTTTATCAACTGTATTTATAACACTTTTCTTAGAGTCTGCTGGCACTTCACATGGAGGACTGTAAATCAGACCTATAAACCCACCAAATAGTAGAAGGCAATTACATAATATCTTTAAAGTCAGGAGGGAAAATGACTGTCAATCTAGAGTTCTATGTACAACTAAATGACAATTCAAGATTGAGGACAAAATGAAATCTTTTTAAGACCAAAAGGATTAAGATTTTACCCCTAACAGTTCCCTACGAGAGGCACTACTGAAGGTTGGACTCTAAGAAGAAGAAAATTTAGCACAACCATGAAAATAGCAGCATTTTCCACATTATCCAAGAGGTGAAAGCAACCTAAATGTCCCCCCGTGAGTGAATGGATAAACAATACATGGTACATGCACACATACATACATACAATAGAATATTATCTGACCTTAAAAAGAAATAAAGTTCTAATAGATGCTACAACATGGATGAACCTTGAAGACATTATGCTAAGTAAAATAAGCCAGTCACAAAAGAACAAATGCTGTAGGATTCCACTGATATGAAATATCTAATAGTCAACTGCATAGAAACAGAAATAGAATGGTGGTTTCTAAGGGGTTAAGGGAAGTGAGAAGTGGGTACAAAGTTTCAGTTTCACAAGGTAAGACTTGTGGAGTCTGCTGCTCAACAATGTGAATATACTTAATACTACTACTGAACATGTAAAATAGTGGTCAATGGTTAAAAAAATAAAAAGAAGAGAATGTAATCCAGAAGTATGGGATTCAAGAAGCAGCACTAAGCAAAGAAAGGGTATACATGTTGGTAAATCTAAATAAGAATTGAGGTAAATATTCTTTCTGAAATGCAGAGAATAAATTAGAGGTGGACAAGCCTAGAAGCAGAGACACTAGGATGACATTTCATTAATTCAGTCTTGAACTAAGAAACCTTCTAAATTCGAAGGACAGTATCTATACAACTGGTAGATCAATAAGATGTGGTCAGTGAAGGTGCTGTCAGTGATGACACCCAAGGTTAGGATCCAGGATGGATAGTGGAGTTAGTCATTAAAATGTGGAACACATACGCAGAGAATTTTTATTTTCTTGAGGTTATGAAATTATAATGGGTTTACAATAAAAACTCTTTAGATGCTGGTAATTTAGGTAATGGGAAAGCTAACAGTATAGTAGTTTGCCATCTACAGTCAGATTGCTTCATCAAATCCCAATTTCTCCATTCAACTAGCTGGTTAGCCTTGAATAAGTTACTTAACCTGTCTATTATTCATTTCTCTCCTTTGTAATAGTATTTACATCAAAACGTTGTTATGAGGGATAAGTGAGTTAGTAGCCAGAGAGCACTTAGAATATCCCTCATTTATTAAGCACTGAATAAATGTTTGTGTAACAAAATATTAAATTGGAAATTTTGATTGGGATTTTGAGATGCAATGTTTTAAGAATATACAATGCAAATGACATTCTAAAGTGATTTGTTAGCCTGAGATTCACTTCTTCAAAGGAAAAACAAACAAGTTATGCCACTCTTAAACTCTACACCCACATAAAAGTTGTGTAAAATGGCAAAGTTGTTGGAAATTAGAGGGCAAGAGAATTATCTTGGGAGAGAGAATATCTTTGGAAAGAGATGTGCTATTAGTTCTCCCTGAGAGACAAAGAATGAAGGTGTTGCCTCTTGCATCTCAACCCTAGTGAGAGGTGCTCCAATATGCTATTGACTTCTGCTTGATATATATATAAAAAGGGTGAAATATATAATATTAGAAATAAACTACAATAAAAACTACCCCAAAAATTCAAACACTTGGAAGCTGAATAGCATGCTATTAAATAGTGATTGGGTTATCAAAGAGATCAAAGAAGAAATTAAAAACATCCTGGAAACTAATGACAATAAAAACACAACAATCTAAAATCTATGGGACACAATGAAAGCAGTCCTGAGAGGGAAATTTATAGCACTACAGGCCTACCTCAAAAAATAAGAAAAATCAATAATAAACTATTTAACCCTACATCTTAAAGAATTCGGAAGAGAATGAAAAAGCCCAAAGTAGAAGGAAGGAAATAAATATGAGAGCAGAAATAAATGCCAT